ATAATTTTATAATCAAGTAATTGAATGAATTAAGAATAGTTTACTTCTCAATTAAATTATTGTGTAAATATGATTTACTAATCAATTAATCAATTAATTGATTAATTATAACTTTTTAATCAATTGAAAATTTTAATTAAGTGCAATTTAATTCTCAATTAAAGAGTATAAGTATACTTGAGTAATGTAATATCCCAAAATTTTGTGCTATTTTAGCATTTAAGTAAGGGTTTTGTGTGAGAAAATATGGTTTTGGGACTTAATAGCCAAAGATTTCAAAGTTGAAGGACTTAAAGAGGGAAAGATTTTGGATAAGGATGACTTCTTTTCTTTTTCTCCTTTTTCTTTCTTTCTTTTCTTCCCAGCCTTGCCCGATTCTGCTCTTCTTCTCCTTTCTTCCCGCTGCAGCCACCCGAAAGAAAAAAAAAAAGAGGAACCCAGCCATGCCTTGAGAAACCGGTGAGAAAGCTTGGATTTCTCCTCCTTTTCTTGTTCTTGAACCCAGAAATCTCCCTCCCCTGCTGGAAAATCCGAATCTGCCTTGCTCTGTCCGCCGGCTGCTCTTGATTGTGGGTGATTTCTGGGCATTTTTTTTCGGTAAGAACAGCCCCTAATTCCTTTGTTCTTGCTTGAATTGGCTTGGGTTAACTTTGATTGCTCTTATTTCCTTCAATTTTGGGTAAACCCGTGAGCTTCCCTGCAGCTTGCCGCCGGCTTCTTCCCCCTGCTAGGTCCGTTTTTAGCTGGAGAATTATGGTATGTGACAGCCTTTTAAGGATTAAATTGTCCATTTAGTTTGCTACCTTGTATGTCCGAATTGTGTTGGAAAAATGGGGATATTTCCGGTAACTTTAGGATGAGATTTAAGCATTAATTCAAGTGGGATTTATGTGATTGAGTGTTAATTGCTTGTTGTGATTTTTGGAGAGAAAATCCCGTGAGATTAGCTAATGTTTTGGCCAATTTGTGGAAGTGGAGTTACTGTTCACGTCGGGGTACTGTTCACCGATACTGTTCACACCCCGAGGGCCAACAATTAACGGGGATTTAAGTGATTAGTTTGTGATATAAGAACGAATTTGGAGATATCTGATAATGTGGAGATTTATAGAGATAGCATTGTGATTGGGGGATGATCCTAATGATGAGTTTACCTTGAATTTGTGATAGTTCAGTATTAATTCGTGAATATTTTGATTAGGTTCCCGATCGTTTTGTCAGTTTAGTACGTGAATTGAGTGCTCGGTTTTATGCGGTTTGAGGTAAGTAAATTTATGGTAATGCCCGTACTGTTTTTAAAAGCATGTTTTGATTTGTTTTTGAAGTGGTGACGGGACTAAACCCGTTTTACACGAGCATGACTGATTTGAAGTGAAATGTTTTATGCTTTTCATTAAATTGAGCATGCCTACTTGAAATTTAAGTGACTGTCCTGATGATTTGAAAGTGATTGTGAATTGTGATTTTCTTGTTAACTTCTGCCTGTTTTGTCTTCGATGTGGTCATGTTATTCGTGACCCTGCTAGTGGGGGAGGTTATAAACACTAGCACATGTCGGCACATGTCGATATGTTATTCGTGACCCCGCTAGTGGGGGAGGTTACAAACGCTAGCACATGTCGACATGTTAGTGATAGAGTCGGTTCGTTCAACCCTGCTAGTGGGGGTTATACACCAGCAAATCGTGTGCCCGCCAGTGGGAGGTTTATAAACGCTGGCCATGACCTATAGAGGAGACGTCTATTTCGTTCCCGTACTGTATCTGTTTTGCGTGATTGCACATGTGGCATGCTATAAGTTTAATAATTGGCACTCCATATTTACTTACTGAGTTTATCTCATAGTTTTTCTTGTCCACCATTTCAGGAAATGAAACCGAGGACGGGGAAACCACGGGAAGTGACGAGTTAGAAAGCTAGCCATTGTAATTGATATAAATTTTAGAGATAAATCATGATCTTGTAAGCTAGAGTGTACTTGGAGATTTTATGATATCAAAGTAAATTTTAAAGATTTGATCTTCGGATTTTGATGGTATCAGAGTGTGAATTTGATAAGTTCCGAGCCTTGTGCACTTGTGGGATCCGTCTCACGAGTGTACGGCGTCTATCACGCCTCGAATTTGGGTTTTGGGGCGTGACAAGTAATCAATCAATTAATCACTAACCCAATGTTAATTAATTGATTAACATAATGTTAAATGAGTTTAATCATAATTTATAAAGAAATCAACTAATTAATATGATTATTATTTATCAATTAATTAAATAATATAGGTAAAAATTTATAATAATTTAATTTTAAAAATTCATTAAATTATTATAAATTAATTAAATTTTACTCAACAATTA